AATCCTCCGAGCTTCCCTTACCAACGAGGAGACGAACGTGTGTGCGAGTAGGACATAGGAAGGGCATTGGACGTTGTTCCTTACACAGCCCAATTCCCCAAGTCCCGCACGAGCCACGTCTTCTCCGAACCTGGGGTCGTCGTCCTAATAACTCACTGCCCACCGCACCGAGTGTTGCTGCCCTTCCATTACCTCACCGTCATCCCGTGGCACGCTATCGCTCCCTATTGGCCTCGCACCCCTTGTTCTGAGTGTTAGCGAGACAACAAGTACCGAACCTCGGGGTTCGTTCGCCAAACCCGAACGGAGTTTGAACGATGGGCACACAACCTCTAGATGAGACCTTCGTCGTCTGATTCCGAAGTTTGTAGCGATCGACGACAGCAGTTGATCAGACACCGCGATACCCATAGCATGCACCCTGTCCATCAGGTCCACGACCGACCGCAAAGGCGAAACCAGAGGAGATGGTAATTCCCATCTCTCGGGCCTAAGGCATACGAAACATGCTTGAGATCGACAACAGGGGCAATGTCGTGGGGGATTCCGTTCGAGAATGCAAGAGTGTCTAGATTTGTTAACAACGTGATTACATTGGGACTCTTAATCCTGGGATACACTGCGCATGCCATCTGCCTTATGTTGCACGACATCTGCAACTTTCCTTTCTTGACACTAAGTCTGAGAGGTGGTCTATTCGCTCGTAAAACCTAAAACGCCGCGCACGGCCCGCACTTGCCCTCTTGCACTTTTACCCCCGAAACTTGCCACAGGAGATCTCAGTTCTGTCCTGGGACTCCACCCCCACTTTCCTAAAATCTTTGGCACACCCCCTTTTTCGCACTTCCGGGCCCCCATTCCACTCCGATCAGGAAGTCGCGTTGTGCGTGAGGTTGGTATCCGAGCCGACACGTGGCAAGCTGACGGGTTAGTAGAAGGAAGTACTTCGCTTAGAGCGACCTGGCGAACGGAGGGCGACCTAGACAACGGAACGCGCCGCAACACGATCCCGTGGTAACAAGGAGCAGATCAGCTGCTCGACGAGCGGCCTCTATGAATGCTCACCCAGCGGCGAACCAAAATTAGAATCAGAATCCTGCGCTTGACCCTGCTCCGCGGCCTCGAACACCCATGCCTCCACCGGATCTTTATCTTTTCGCTCCTGCACATCATTTGGCAGGAGCGTGGTTGGCTACATTGCGGGCACAGCGGTATGATAACAACGAAGCACGGATTAATATCCCCGCTCGATTGGGAGGGGACGCTCACCACTGGTTTAGCACTTACGTTTGGGTAGATCTCCCAACCTTTGAACGAGATTTCTTAAATCGATTTGATTACATTCATCCGGAACAAGCGCTCTTTATGATCAAAGATCGAGTTCAGAAACCGCTTGAGTCGGTCACCGAATATTGAAACAGGTTTTACCGGATGTTTGTCAAAACCCAACGTGGAGAAGAAATTGGAACTTGGAAGAGATCTGTTTATTGATGGGCTTCGTAGCGGAGCCATAAGGGCGAAACTGCGAAAGCGGTTCTCCCCTATTAACCACACATTGCAATAGATTATGACCGCAGCCGAAGAAATGGAGTGAAAATCCGCTGCCAGTTTCCTAGAAGGAGAAGATTTTCCCAGAGAAGAGGATTCTTCGGAGCTGGCCCGAGCAAGGGCTGAGTTGGCAGCAATTCAGAACAAGTTTGAAAATATGGGCTTCGTTTCTGGCCCCGTCACCTATCTTGAGCAGATCACGACAAAAAAGTCCCTACCAGATGCAATTGTGGGAACGTCTGTAACAGTCTTAGCGGCCCCTGCGCCTTCCCACGAAATTCCGAATAAGACAAACGAAAGTATTGTGGTGCTTGAACTAACCCGCACGTTAGTTAGTCTGATGCAAGAAAGTAAGAAGGAACAACGCGAACACAATGCCCGGATAAAATCTCTGATGAGATCGATGCGCCCCATCGATGTCAGAGTTGCACCCATTGCGCAAGCAGCAGTCCCCGCTGCCCAGGCTATGGGTGGAGCCGCAACTAACTTGAGTGTCTGTTACACGTGCCATCAGCCGGGCCACATAGCTCAAGACTGCCCTCACCGACCCGCACAACCACGAGTCGGAGCGGCCCCGGTGGCTGCTGCACCTGTGGCAAATGGGCCAGGGAGGGTGGAAACGATGCTAGAGGAAATTGAAAACGGAGGAAGTACCATAGCCCCTGCTGAGGAAGCACCGGAACTCATCCCGCTTGATCAGTACGTTGCCTTGGGATATCCGGGACTGGGGATGATTGGGACAATCCGGCCGGCGGAAGAACGAAAAGAAGTGGCTGAATGAAGACCGTCCCCAGGAGAGATGGAGGCGGGTGGTCCCAGCTTCGTCACTGGGGAGATCGACGTTTTGGACATTGCCCGAGCCTTGGACCACCGAATCCCATTACCCATAGGGCACTTACTGTCCATATCCGAACAGGCCAACGAACGCATGTTGCAGCATTGCAAAGCAAACAGGAAAAGATTTGCTCTTGCCAAGCTAACTACCCAGAAGGGTAAATCCCCGGTTATCGAGGAAAAACCCACTACTCCTAACACGTCGGATCCGATACGGTTGGGAATAATACAAAAAGATGACCATTTTCTACGGATTGAAACCATCCTGTGGAAATCCGCAGAATGTGACATCGAAGTTTGGGGAATTCCGTACAACGCTATCCTTGATTCGGGAGCGGCAGTCCTAACTATCTCATTGAGGGTCGTGGAAGGGGCTGGGGGAAAGAAAGATCTACTTACGTTAGCAGAAGGTGATAATCTTGTCTCAGCGGACGAAAAAAAGATTAAAGCAGTGGGGAGGATGACGAATGTGGCTTTCAGACTAGGGAGGGTTCATGCTTTGGGGGATGTAGTAGTATTAGATGTAAACACCTACGATGTCCTCCTAGGATTACCAGCCCTCACGGCATTACGAGCTAACTTGGATTTCGAAAGACGGTCTGTCATTCTTCGGAATACAGGCGAAAAGCCGTACGTTGTCCCAATGAGATTAACTCTCCGAATCACGTTACCACCAAGACCCCCGCCCAAAATCAGGAGCTCTCTTCGCGTGATTACGTGGAAAGAGCCGATCCCTGAGGAAGAGGCGAGAAGAAGGAAACCTGAACCGACCGACAGCTCCTCTGCCAGTGATAGCGAGGATGACACGGACCCCGTGATCCAAGATATGGTGCACTGCTCGATCGGATCCGCTACCCCATTCGACAGAAGACAATTAAAACGTTTGTCCTCACTGAAAAGAATCTGCAACAAACTCGAGCACTAATCTTTGGAGAACCACTCGTACAGGTATCCCGGATGATTGATTCTTTGGAACCCCCTCGAACCCTATATGAAGCGACCACCTCACTTCTCTCGAGATATCGAGAAAAGAAGGCGTTCTGCGACATTACGAGGTTGCCTCGTTCCTAGCTGACTCCGGGAAAGGAGGTGAGATTGCTACGTTTGGGGGCCGAAAACGAAGCTTTGGAACCCCCTGAGCGTGATGATCCTACGATGTACGAACTCAGAATTAAAATTCCTGAAAGGACGACATATTGAAAGGACGACATATTGAAAGGACGACATATTGAAAGGACGACATATTGAAAGGACGACATATTGGCTGGATGACAGTGGTGGCGTAACCCCTGAGGAACACATGGCCATCCGAGAAGAAGATGCACAAATGATTGCTACCGTATTTTTCTGGCGATCGGATAACTCCTTCATCTCTGCTCCCCCGAAGCAAAACAGTAACCGGGCAGGCACGAAGTGTATGGCAGTTACCATACACGGACAACCGTACAAATTGCACATGCCACAGTATGTACCAAATGAGATTCACCGACTGATTGCTGATATACTCACCGAATATCAAGGAGTGATTAGTGTGACAGATACGGACATCGGGTTGTCGGTAGTAATCCAATATGAAATTCAGACTGGAACCCATCCGCCGATCCATTGCAAACCATATCGATACTCGCTAACAGAACGGAAAATCGCGTTAGAGAGAATTCGGGAATTAGAGACTAATGGGTGGATCGAACCCGCAACTGGACCCTGGTCGTTTCCGGTAGTGTTAGTTCCAAAGAAAAACGGGTCGATTCGCATTTGGATCGATTATCGAAAATTGAATGATATCACGATCAAGGATGTGTATCTCCTTCCCCGGATTGATGATTTGCTGGATGTGATTGGCTGTGCTAATTATTTCAGCAAGTTCAATATTCGTCATGGTTTTCATCACATTCTGGTGAAGGAGGAGGATCGGCCAAAGACGGCCTTTGTGTTATTTGAGGGTACCTGGCAGTGGATTCGATGGGGATTTGCAATGCACCCGCCACGTTTCAAAGAGCGATGAATGTCACATTTCAGAATTTCGTGAACAAGACCAGGCTGACGCAGGGCATGATCATTTTTTGTGTCATTGTGTACATGGACGATATCTTGGTTTACTCGGAATCGTTCCACGGACATGCTCAGCACATTGAATGGACGCTCGGGGCGTTGAAGGATGCTGGTTTCAAGATTGCATTGGAGAAATCTGAGTTTTTCCTTTCGAAAATTTCGTTTTTGGGGTCCGTGGTGACGCGAGGAGGCTTACGACCGGATTCGAGAAAAGTTGCGACCGCCCGCGAAGCCCCCACACCTACCACACTGACGCAAGTTCGGGCCTTTCTGTGACCGGCCTCGTACTACTGTCGATTTATCAAGGTTTTTGCTGCTATCGCACGACCCCTAACGAATCTTTTGCGGAAAGACCAGCCACTGAACTGGGATGCAGAGTGTCAACAGGCCTTTGTCCCCTTGAAGGAGGCCTTGGCTACGGCGCCTATCTTAATTCGGCCCTATCCGAAAAAACAGTTCATACTCATTACGGACTGACAGCCTAAAGCGATCTCTGCTATTTTGGCTCAAAAGGGGAACAACGGCCTAGAACACGTCATCGAATACGCTTCGCGAACAGTGCCAGATGAGAGGAAAAACGATTCGGCTCTGCAAGGTGAATGTTACGCTGTCGTGTGGGGAATCCAACATTTCCATCCGTATCGGTACAGACAGAAATTCCTCCTCGTCACAGACCATGAGCCCTTGCTGGCTCTCAAGAAGCTGACTAACTACATGGGCATGATTGGGCGTTGGGCTGTGCGACTGCAAGAGTACAATTTTGATATCGTCCATCGGAAGACAGAGAAGCACGGCAACGCTGACGGACTGACACGATTACATCGGCCCAACAAGGTAGCCAAGGGTGACGAGATTACGCCGTGGAAAGAGCTAGAGTTGAACGGCGAGCCCTCGTATGGACAGGTGGTCATCCTTCCTCGTCCTGCTAAGAAGTGATTGGCAGTTGCAATGGCGTCGAGGCACGAAGGCAATTCCGAAGGCCCCCTTTCTCCCCCTTCGTCTTCACCTCTTCTCTCCCTGCCCGATAAATTTTGCTATTTTTGCGAAGCAATTTCGAGGGTTTATTCGGTCCCTATGCGTCCTAGCGGGGAAGGCCCGTTCAAACGCGCGTTGGACACGCGTTGGATTCACGTTCAATGCCCGTTCAAACGCGCGTTGGACGCGCGTCAACGCGGGTTCCGCGTTGAATTATTGAACGCGCGTTGAATTCGCGTTCAACGCCCGTTCAAACGCGCGTTGGACGGGGAAAAACGGGATCCGCAATGATTTGTTTCCTAGGCAAAACATAATCGAAAAACAAAACAAAAAATATGGGGTCGTAGATCTTTTCGAGGTCTACGACCCCATATTTTTATTTTTATTTTTTGAGTTTTTAATATATTTAAAAAAAAAACAAAAACGTAAGCACAATGAAAAAAACAAAAACAAGAAATGACATGAGTTTTTTTTTTTGGGGTTTCACAAAGATTTTTTAAGGGCTAAAAAACAAACAGAAAAAAATAAATAAATATAGGGTTGTAGATCTTTCAAAGATGTACAACAAAATAATTTTTTTGTTTTTTGTTATAACTTCGTGTATTTTTAAAAATATCAAAACCATAAACAACATTTTTTTTGGCCTGCATTGCTTAGGTAATCTTGCTGGGTAGACTCCCTGATTTGGCCTGCTTCGTTCACTGTTGTTGCATCCACCACCATCAGATCATTTGTGATCTGATGGCTGGGAAGTACTGTGTCGTGATTTTCAGTGGGAGGTCTCTGTTTTTTTTGTTTTTTTTTTTGCCTTTCTCCTGTTTTCTCAGCCCAGAAACTCGTAATGAACCTGTCAGGCCGCTGCCACTCAGTGTCACACTGGATCGGCCACACTCCAATCCGTCTGCTAATGGGACCATGCCCCTGGGGCGAGGTCCCATTAGCAGTCAGATAGGAGTGTGGCCGATCCAGTGTGACACTGAGTGGCAGCGGCCAGACAGGTTCATTACGAATTTCTAGGCTGAGAAACAGGAAAAAGGCCAAAAAAAAAAAAGGAAACAGAGACCTCCCACCGGAAATCACGGCAGAGTGCTTCCCAGCCCTCAGATCACAAATGATCTGATGGTGGTGGTTGCAAAAACAGTGAACGAAGTAACCGCCACATTTTCTTGGAACAAAATTGACTTCTGTCAGAAGTGATCCTGACACCCTCCATATACCCCGTGATTGAAGGAGGGTTGCACCCAATGAGATAATTGCACAACAGCAAGTAAAATGTTGAATATCTTCTATCCAGTGGGCTAAGGCCGACCCCAACCTCATTTGGGGTTGGCCACACCCTAACCGATTGAAAAGATTCTGGCGGGAAGCTTTCTTTGCACTGACCGTGGGATCACGAGTACTGCATGGCAGTATTTGGGCCACTCAATTGCCCCACAAACTCGTTTCTAGCCTATCCCGTTGCTAGTGGGACCTGTCATTGTTGTCTGGTCGAAGTTACCCTCAATGCTGGTAGGGTGATGGTCCTAAGTGCTGGTCACACTGAGGTAGGATGGTAGGGACAGGGGGTCTGGTCCTTGGCCTCTACAAGACCCTGGACTTTCAAAAAAAAAAAAAAAAAAAAAA